ATTCTGGGAGTTGAAGTCCACTCATCTTAAAGTGGCCAAGTTTGGACAACACTGCTCTGGGCACTGGAGAATTAACATCTCAACTCACCCAAAGCTTTCTTCAGCCACAAATGTGGCTCCCTTGGCCTTTTTGCAAGTCACCAGCTTCTGCTTCAGCCAGGTGACTCACTTTCGCTTACCTCCTGCCTCCTCACCCCACGTTACTCTTGCTAGTCATCCCTCTAAGCCAACCCCTTATTGGCTGGCACTTGCTAACTTGTGCCAATCATCATCACACCCAAGATGTGCTATTCCTGTTTTTCTCCAGAGCAGGGCTTGAGTTGGGTCAGGGCTCAGCTTTGTCATTTGTTTTCAACAGCTAGGCCAAACAAGTATCTAAACAGAGAAGCATCACTGGGCATGTGCAAAGTGCTTTTCAGAGTATTCTTAATATATCTTAAGATGTATCTTTTTATATCCTTTTCGGGATATAAAAAATCAGGCTTGAAGTCTTGATCTCACCCTCTTCCTCTTTTTACTGAGATTCCACAAGGCTCTTCTCTAAAGCACCCCCATCTTCTCCCTCGTTGGCTTCTACTCTAACACAGGGTTAATGCATTTTATGTACACGCCACCCCCCGCCTTCCCTAAGCCGAAACAGGAATGGAAAAGGAGGGGAGGGCAAGATTTCGCCCCAGTTCCCCTCTTCCGCCTCTCGACTCGGAAGCGAGTCTCCCGCAGAGCCCAGCTTCATCTGTGCGCACAGGCTCGCCGCCTTCCTGCCAAGTTCCGGATTCTCGCCTGCCACCGGGCTGGAAACTTGGCCTCTGCTGCGCTCCCGCGCTCAAGCCATGCACGATTTCTGCCATTGCTCCTGCTGGCGCAGGAATCGGCGTCCCCGGGATCCTACAATGGGGCAGGCCGTGCCCAAAGGGGCGCCGAGCGAGCGAGCGAGCAATCCGCCGCCGCCGCTCCTTCCCCTCTCTCCCCCCGCCCTCGATGTCCCCCGCCCCTCCCGCGCTCGGCCAGCCGAGCCTGCCAGGCTTCGCGCCCTTTCCTGGGAGCAGCCCGGAGCCGCTTCCTCCCCAGCCCGCTTTCACCCGCCCGGGCGCCCGAGGCGGGCTTTCCCTTTACCTCCAGAGCTTCCCCAGCGTCTTGCTCAGCTCCGCGTTGTGCAGGTGCGGGTACTGGTCCGCGAGCTTCCTCCGAGCCGCCTGAGCCCACACCATAAAAGCGTTCATGGGGCGCTTGACGTGGGGCTTGTTCTTACTGGATCCGTTCACCCGGACGGGCATGGGCACCAGGGTCCAGTCGTAGCCCTTGAGGACCTGGCTGACGGCTTCTCGGATGCACACCGGGAACTTGTCCTCGTCGCTCTCTTTCTTCAGGTCCTGGTCGTTTTTGGGGAAGGTGTTCTCTTGGGGTCTCGTGTTCTCGGTGTCCGATCCGGAGCCCGAAGGGCAAGGAGACCCCGCGGAATCCTCCGACATGGTCGGGCTGGGAGCGCCAGACAGACACTTTTCCTGCTCTTCGGTCATCTTCATGAAGGGGTCGAGGAGATTCATGCGAGAAAACGGCGAAGCCAAAATATGGGGGGAAATGAAAATCGAGGCGGAGGGGTGGAAGAGGCGGGGGAGGAGAGCGGGGAGGGGGTTAAACAATCAGAAAGAGCGACGTCTTTTTAGACAGCTGGAAAAGGAGGCAAGAAAAAGTTTGCACGCGCCAATGCAAAACGACACGCGCGCGAAGAGCTACGGCTTTGCAGAAACTCGGGTCGCGGGCGCGTTGCGAAGTCGCCGCTGCAGAAAGCTTGTCTCAAGAAACAGACATGTGGACAACTGCTGATCCGTTCGCGGACGATGAAAGCGGAGCTGGTGGGACGGCAAGTGAAGTTGAACGGGGTGGAGATTTTTTTCACCCCTTTCGAAAGAAGGGGACGAATTCCTCGGCTTGGGGGAGGGGGCGCGAAAAAAGTTTGAAGGCTCCCCAAATCACCAAGTTAGTATCAACCTCAGCTCTCCTAACGCTCACTCCAGCTCTCTTTAATAAATACTCTCGTCTGCTATTTCACCTTAGAAACGCCAATGGCAGACCTGCCTCAGAAGGGCTGGCACACTGTTGATTGGCTGAAAAAGTTTTTTCCTCCCTCCTGAAAGGGAGGGGGCGCTTAGGCGAAGGGAGGGGGGGAAGAGAGAGAAAGTTCGTCGCACGCTGCAGTTGGGTCTTTGTACTTCCAACTGTTGCGATAGTTATAATACCTCCGAGTAAATTTCTCCTTTTTTTTCCTCTATTGATACATGCAGATTTCTGTGGTTGCTTGGAGAGTGAAGAAAGGGCAAGAAATCTCTAGCAGAAGCATCATCTCGGCTAAAACGGCGCAGCAAACCAGTCCCTCGCTTGGTCGGAGAAAGAACTTAGTTCTTCTCTGTCTCTCACTCCCCTCCTCCTCCTCCTCCTCCTCCTCCTCTTCTTCCTCCTCCTCCTCTTCCCCCCGCCTTCGAAGCCAGTGTTTTGTGACTCACCTCTCCTATGGGAGGGTTTTGTTTTGATTTTGCTCATCTTAATACTTCACTCGTGCTCAAAAGTTTCAAGACGAAGGAGGCGACGCGCTAAGCTGTCGTTCACGGGGCAGGAAGGTTTATGGGGGGGGGGGGTGGATGGAGAGAGGAAAATCGAAGCTGGATACTTCTTCAGTAATGTGACGTTTTTCTAGTCTATGTATTTGGAATAACCTTCTTAAACAAACGGTTATCATTTAAAGCCTCCTTCTATCCCGTTTTGTGCAAGTTAAAGGCCTGGGATTTTTTAAAATCAGTGTGTTTAAATGGCAGCCCGACCTTCCCTAAACTATGTTATCAAAATGTTCTCTTATAGAAGCATATATGACTAATTTCTCTATCAAGTTGTGTTAAGCATTTGTAAAGTAAAAATCAGGTATATCTAGGTTAGACTTCTCACTTGGGAATTAACCTTCCTTTGGATACAGTAAGGCTGACTGGAACCACACGCAGCGCGGACTACACGCTTTTAGGAAATGGGAACATAGTATTGTTAGGAAGCGGGATATATCCTAATCAGAGCAGTAGGTTTTTCTTTAAGCTAAATTCTTTCTATTAAAGATCTGAGTTTACTTGTTTGGTTTATTGACAAACTTCAGGCCATACTCATACTACTCTGTCTCATACTCTTCCCACTCATTTCCTTCGATAAGAGAGGCGAACAATTTTACTAAATTAGTTTTAAAGCGACGATTTCAGAGATTCCTACTGAATGGATATCTCCAGTGCGTGAGTTTGTGTGCTTTTAAAATCTGGGGCTAATCCCGGGAATCTCAGGTCCTTTTTAATGTTTAGGGTGGGCAGTGATTCCCGTTCCTTTTTCTTCTATAATTAATTGAGGCAGAAAAGGAAAGGTATGCCACTGAACAGCCGATTAAGTTGTCAGTGCAGTTGTTCGGGAAAGTGAGGCGGAAGAGTAAAACCGAGCAATCTGGCCTTGCAAAGAAAGAAACCGGGCGCACTTGGTGATGGATTGGCCTCTTGATATAATCGCCCCTTCATCTAGGCTGGAAAGACAACGTGGGCATCCTCCGCGCACGCACCGTCTCTCTTAGCAATTAGGGAGCCCGTCGGCGGTGGGCGCTTCCCGCATTGTAAACTCTTTAAATCATTAGCTGTCATGTTGCCTTGCCTGGGAGGACAGACGCCTTTCCTTGGCTTGGCTTGGCTTGGCTTGGCTTGCGCTTTTTCCACTCTCCTTTCAGTCTCGTTTCTTTTCTTGGAATTTAACAGTTATTTCTATATAAACAAATCACCTTTGCAGTAGATAAAAGTGTAATTCCCACTTCCATCCAGAGGGGGCGCCATAGGCTCAGAAACTAACCGCCCCGGTGCTCAAGTTAGATATTTCTTGAAGGTGGTTAAAACGCGCGCGCATGCACATTCATACGCACGCAGAGCACCCTCCCCCCGCCCCCGCGCACACTAAAACACGGATTAAGTCTCTGGCGATTTCATCAGTCAGACTTCAATCTCATATATTTTCCCTTGCCCACTTTGCGATTCAAGGATGAAGTTAAACTAGCCTGCGGATGAAATTGCGTTAAAGTCAATGAAAGTGATAAACGTATCAAAGGGCTATAGAAACACAGGGCAGCTCTTGTTTTAAAAGAGATTTACGAAGGTGGCGGTGGTGGTGGTGCGGAGAGCAGACCTTCGCCTCGCTCTGAGTACTTCAATTCACCTCTCCCCGTCCACCTCCCAGAATTTTCCCAGATGTGCAACAACTGCTTCTTTTGCATGGCATCCATTTACCCTGAGCCCATCTTGCATTTAAGGCTTCAATATCTTTATTGCACACGGTCGCACAATCGCGCATCAGTAAGAAAAGTAGGAGACACGCGGGGTCCCCGGAGGAGGCAGTCATTTTTACCTCGGAGTAAGTGTCACTGAAGAAACTGGGGAAATGATTCTGAGGAGACGTGGTGCAATACTAAGGTGGAAAAAGTATGGCTGACCTCAGTGGGTCTTACCTCTAGATTAGATGAGTTGGGGTGGGGTACCACACAGACATGTGTCCCTGTCCAAGTTATTTGAAGGGAAGCCACTTTTCAAATCCAATCCCTCCCTGTTGCTAAAAGATGCTCTATTCACACACACACACACACACACCCCGCTTCCCCAATGCGCAAGGCGAGGTGGAGGGTGAAAGGGGTACGCGCAGTCCTCTCCCCCGAATCCCGAGAGAAGAGGACGAAGGAAGCGACCGCATCGCCGCCCTGAGTGAGAACGGGCGGAGCATCTGTGTGCCCGCAGTTTGCCTGCGGACCCTGGGCAGCTTCTCCCAGCCTGAGCCAACCCGGGGACCGAGCGCATCAAGGGCATTTCAGCAGGACGTTTCTTAGGAGGGATGCGCGGTTTCGAGACACAGCCGTCCAAGCTGAGATTGCCCCGGTTTAGCCCATACGCCTCAGACTGCAGGGGTTGGTTTCTTAGGTGTATTTAAACAAAGACACCCCCCCCCAAAGGAATAGATTCACACGATCATATGATTACAGTATCATAATTCCCACTGCAATATGATCATCATCAACATCAGCACAAGGACAAATGAAAGAGATTGCCCTGTTTTGGGTTTGTTTTCGTCCAGTCCGCTTTTTGATCTGCGCTCCGCTCTTCGCTTAATGTCCAAACTGGGGCGAGAGTTTACCTAAACTTCGAGTAAAAAAAAAGCCAGAGTTCCCCGTAGCACAGGGCTGCTCCTTGCAAATGCGGCCAGCGTTGATATCGCGGCCTTTCTGATGAATCCCCGCACCCCGGAGCTCCGACTTCCAATTGTGTTCATCGGAACTTGGTTTCTCCTCTTTCCTCCTCCCCTATAGCTTTTGTGCTACTAGATCATTCCCAAAGGTCACTTGTATTTAAGAGAATCTGTGCTTTTTATCTCACAACGGACTGCATGCACCTAATATCTGATTGGAAATTCTACGTGGAAAAAATGTTTTAAAAGGAAGGAGGTTCAGAATGTAAATTCTGGATCCGTTCCCTTAACCATCATCCCAGTATAGCAGCCTCTCTCTCCCCTTCAACGTCTTTAACAATAATTAACGGGGGAGGGGGGGGAGCGAGTTAACAGATCAATGAGGAGGTAGCCGACTAAAGGGGGAAGATTTCGCAAGAAAAAAAACTTGAAGTGAATCTAAAGCTTTGTAGAAGATAATATATTCTTTCCCTTTGCAACACTTAACAGTACATTTCACTCCCTAGTTCAGAGGGAAACAAATGATTTATTTGGCACCATATTTGCCAGCAATTAGTTATTACATTCGGTTTAAATCTCAGTCCTAAATGCGAGTGGAAACTAAGAGAGGCTGTCTTCTTTGTTACGAGTTTGGGGCACAAACACTTTCCTTTAACGGAGAAGATGGTTATGAGACTAGAAGCAGGAATTATTGTTCAGGGCTTCTTCGGCCGGGCAAAAACCTTCACTTCTGTCGAATTAAAAACATTTCTTTCTTCTTCCCCCAACCTCCGGAAAACAAAGGGAAAAATATATATATATCTGCAGACCTTGTCGAAAATTAAGAGATCGGAAAAAATAGGTGGTTTTGCACGTTTATGCCGAATAGGAAGGAATAAACAAAAACAAATTGTTTCGTTGGATGACGTTCATGAGAAGCTAAGTTCAACTTTCGTTCTAAAATATCATCTGCCCCAAAGCGGAAACAGCATTCTCCATCCCTGTCAATGGATCTATATCTCTGCCTACCTATAAACATCATTTACATAAGATTGAGGAATAATAATAATAATAATAATAATAATAATAATAATAATAATAATAATAGGTGTTGTTGATGATAATCATACCCTATAGCAATTCGATACATACAGAAGTCATATGGACCGTGGCATTATCAATGCTTTATGTTAGGTTTTCCGATAGGTGCAGAGATTGATTTCAACCGCTGTCGTCTTTTTATTCTCCCACCTTTATTCCTATGTTTTAAAGCCACACTGGAAATAAGCGAATAATATCAAGACTTTTCAAAGTAGTTGCATTTTCAAAAGAGCGGGACAGGGGAAACGGGGGGGGGGGCTTATTTCTACCCTAAACTCTTTGGAGTGCTCCTCTGTTGCGCTACTGGAAGTCGAGAGGGACGGTGAGGACTGGTTTGGGGTGCCAATAAGGCGAGGGAATGTCCGAGAGCGCGCGGGTTGCCGTCGCCGGAGGCAAACCCGCCACCCTCTTGCTGGTCCCTCCGAAATGCTGAGGGTTCGCACACCGGGCAACGTTACGAGCTCGTTTCGGGAGTTACTTGTAGAGTTTGCAAGTCCA